TTTATTTAAATAAATCACGAGTAAAACAACTATTTCTTAGGGGAAGTTACAAATTCGAGCCGGAAAAAATTTGCAATTAGGAAAAACATATGATTGTGGCACATGGTTTGATTTTTTGTCGACGATAATTTGAATAAACAAGTTCGTTAAATTTAAAAATTTACAAACTGGAGCGATTTTAAAATGAAAAATGTAAGTTAATACTTGTTTACTTAATTAATTTAGTTAATTCCAATGACTTGAAAGGTACTCGGCAAAAAAAAAATGTATTCTTAATCGGAATGCAATCTCAACCAGAGTCGATATAGTAAACCCGACAAAGAAATTGAAACGTATGTTGAAGAAAGTCGGGGTGACATGATATATACACGTAGATCCTGTTTTTGGCCCCTCTGAGAGAATTTCAAAAATTCTGTACAAATTTCTTTTGTTTGAAATGCAACCGTGGACACTAGCTCGCAGAAAAACTTGCAAATTTGCGTTCGTACAGAAAATTGCAAGTTTCTCTACATGAAAGAGAATTTGGGAGCATATTTTCTTACTATCTGATATTTTGAGTGATAATTCTCGCTGGATTTTTGACGAACAAACCTATTGTCTTCCCTACAAGGCCTTTTCAGACTGACCGATTCTCAATACACTCAAATAGAAACCAATACACATAAAAAACGCTGTAAAACTTTCCCTTAAATTTTAGGGCAGTAAAACAACGACCTTAAGTTAACATCAACCGAGGCCATATGTTGACAAGTGATACAAAATCACAGTTACACAAAAGAACTAGTCAGATTTTTCAGAAATCCCTTCAATTCTGATGTAAAATATGATGCCAAAAGACTGCAGATCTCCCATTTAGAAGACCGGTCATATGACCGGCAGGTGTCTCGTAGGATTCCCAGAGAGTTTTTCTTTACAAAGAATTTTGTGCTCTTTTATTTTCATTTTGACTCACTTCAGTGTTGGTTTCTTTAATTCAAGTTGGCATTCGGTTTTTGGAATTTAAATAAGTTCTCAGCAAAAAAGTTTGTTTAAAAAAATACATATGTGTACATAGTGGGCAAATATGATGTTTTATGATTTAGGCAGAATTGAATATGCGCTATCTGGGAAGACAATATCTACATACATGTAATATTTATTCTGTTTGTTGGCACTATATCCAAACACAAACGCATCTTAAGTGTCTTAACAGTGAATCAATTTCTTATTTTCTAAGTTTGCGAATAAAACTTCACACTTAAAATTATCACATTTATAACAAACATTTTATGAAGAAAATCCCTTCTTCGTTTAAAATAAAAATAAGCGAAGTCGGCCCGATTTCATACAACCCTGCCTGACATGAAAACTTTCTCCACGATAAGGCTAGTAGCCATTTCTAACAGATTTTGGGTCGCTTAGTCAAAAATGGAAACATATGTATATACATATTTGAAATTTAAGAAAACAAGGCAAATAGCAAAATCGGCTAAAAACGGCTAATTTTTTTCTGCAAAACGGCTAAAAAATCGGCTGCCGGCTAAATCGAAATTTCTCCGGCTACTATTTAGCTTGAGAATGGAAATCGCTGCATCTTTTAGGCGCATTAATATTACATAGTTACATCCTAAGCTAATAAAAGCGATTATCCTGCCTTCTTCGTATCAAAATATACTAAATTCAAAGATTTTTTTTTAGCCATGCTCTACCAACGAACGCTCGCTAACGATTAAAAATACGATCTTCTCATATTAGCTCATTTTGCGATTGTATTTTACCGCGATAAATACTTGAGCAAACGATCGTTAGCGAAAGCATTGCCTACGTTTTCGTTGTCAAGAGATTGCGCGCAATGATTTTCTGCACCAGCGCTCTTGCCACGGACGATCGCTTTCGTACGTCAGTGATGCCAATAAATTTTTTAAAAGATCCATACCGCGTCTCAAGAAAATCTCTTCTTTTCCCTACGCAAATATAATTTTTTCCTAGAAGTTTCCCTACATATCTTTTTTTATATGTATATCGAAATGAAACAAACAATCTTTTACAAATTCATCTTTTATCCTAAACATTAGAAGCAACTTACAAACCTCGCTCCTTTATTCAGACTCTCATTTTGTGTTATTTATAACAACATAATCGCGTAAATTGTACCTGGGCGTGGAAAAATGTAGATGAATGAATACGCGGTAAAAATGGCATTGAGCAAGCTTGGGTCAAATGAGTAAATATGTTCAAAGTACATACCTTAAATCTTAGAACAGAAAGAAAATTTTGTGAAAAAAGAAACAATTTCAGAATTTAAGTTAATATTGAAAGTCTGTAATTTTTTCCCTACATCGCAAATTTAAGGCTGCATGTAGCTTCTTTTCTCTACTATTGGCATCAATGTCGTAGGCTCGTTCGTTTGCGCTGTTTATCATCGTTGCCGTTTTGATACAATTGTATCATTTTTGATACTTTTTTTTTCTAAATTTTGTGATTTGATACTTAGATACTCTTTTGTTCACAAATGCCCCATTTTGGTACTTTTGCCTGGTAGAAATGAATTTTTGAAAATTATGAGGAGCTTCTCCTCCAATTTCTGGCGTGCGCCTTGATGTTGTCACACAAAGCGGAGGGACCTACAGTTTTACGCCGACTCCGAACGGCGATTGCATTTTTATGAGAAGCTGTTTTTTCATGGCAGAAATACACTCGGAGGTCTGCCATTACCTGCCGAGGGACTAGTCTAAAGGCGAATGATTTTTTTCTTGTTATTTAAAGTCTTAAAATATTATATGTACCTATTTATAAGTTTGATTTAGTAACTCTTATAAGGGAAATACAACCCGGAATTTCTTTGCAAACGCCGCTATTATACGGCCCCTAAACCTGGCGATACCAGTACTTAGAAGTTAATACTCGAGTACCTCTACAAAGTACCGAGTACTTTTTGTACTTCGCTACGCGTGTGCAATTACTTCATGGGTATCGAGTACAACCTGCTAGTATTTACTTCTTTGCTAAATTTGGGAAAATCAACTGAAAATAGGTCTGTGTTGTAGTTTTTGAAAAAAAATAACGATTCAAGATGTTAATCACTTGATTTTGCTAGGATTAAAACTAAAAAAAAAACGCTTGAAAATGGAAAACAATATGTCGTAGTTAGGGTAGGATGTGGAGCCAGCGTGAGATTTTCGGAAGCATCGTCTAGAATTCGTTTTGAAACAGAAGAATCAAACACAAGTAAGCGATTAGCTTTCTCATTTCACTCCTGTTTCAGTACTTTCAAGTAACCCCATTTCATTTCAAAATAGGAGGATATTGAAAGGCAGTTTTCCGCTCTTCATAAGCCTTTCTCCTCTGTATGTTGTTATATTGTAAACGGTCGTTAAACTAAAATTTCTCGTCTGAGTACTTTTGAGTACAAGTAGAATCGAGTATTCCCTGGAGATACTTTGAATAGCATCGAGTATTTTTTCTATACTTTTAATGAGTACAGGCATCGAGTACATGGTGGTATCGGACGAACACTATGTAAGATAATAATAATAATAGATTGGCGCTTACACATATGTTAGTGTTTGGCCGAGCTTCTCCTCCAATTTGCGGCGTGCGCCTTGATGTTGTCACACAAAGCGGAGGGACCTACAGTTTTATGCCGACTCCGAATGTATTTTTATGAGAAGCTGTTTTTTCATGGCAGAAATACACTCGGAGGTTTGCCATTACCTGCCGAGGGACGACCGCTGTTAAGAAAAAACCTTTTTTCTATATTTTTTTGCGATGTTGCTTTGACCAGGGCTTGAACCCAGGCGTTCCGGAGTGGAAACGCACACTGCTTACCACTACACCACAGCGGCCGACACTGTGTTAGATAGGGTCTTTTTATATTTATCTCGAGGGTTGCTTTTTTGAGTTATGACAATACATAAATCTGCACATTGAAATGGAAAGCGAAGACGATTCAAGAATAGATAAGTATAACTTTTCCCAAGGGAATCAAATTTTCGAGCTATATTTGGTGATCCACGTAAACACTTTTCGTACATGGATCTTAGGAAGTTGTGATGACATTAAATGTTTTAATTTTGGGGTTTAGATTTTTTGAGATCAAAAAATTAGATCAGGGACTTTTTTGGTACAAAGATAGTTCAATATATATGTATACGAAAAGGCAGCATACAAAGATTAATATTTGGGAAAGGATGTGACCTGGTCATAGTTGTAAACTGAGCGGAAGTTATTCAATTCGCAACCCATTGTGTCTCACGTTGGGCACATAAAAATCTAGAAATGCATATACAAATATATAATGGAACAATTCATATTCTAGCATACATACAGACGTAGGTACATATCTACGTATGTATATACCTCGCTAAAACAATAACATTTTGGGGATTTCCAAGCAGCTTTTGTGAGTCACGCACTTTATACACTTTGATTCTGTTTGTTGTGAGTGGGCGGTATCGTTTTAATTTTTCTGAATCAACACAATTTATTTACGTATTGTATGTACATTTGTTTCAATATTTAAAGGAACTGGTTACGTTTGTTTCTTTATTTTTAAACTTCGAAACTGCCAACTGACCGGTAGTTTGAGGTTGCAGCATGATTTGCCGGTTTTGCTACAAAAGTGTGTCACCGATTTTCACTTATTTTTGTAGTCGATTTTCGTAAACAACCTAGTGGCGTCTCACAAGCCAAATACATGCACAAAACACAAACTCAAAAACAAATACTCGGAATCAAAACAAAACAAAAAAAAAGCCGAGAAATGTGGGATTTGGCCCCCTTTGGGCTCTTAGCACACTTCAAGGCGATGATCACGTGTTTCACTCAATGTCATCAGATTTAAAGGCGTCCCAAACTTGATTCGCGCGCGCAAATCAACAACGGCAACGACCGCAATGGCACAGCCAGTAGTTAGAGAAGAGGAGCACTGCAGGAGGTTTAACTTTTAGCCGTTTGGTTTTGTTGCGTTGCCGTGGAGCAAGCACTTCCAGTATGCGGATCACGGATCACGGATCACTTACCGATCGGAAGTTATTTAGATCGAACTACAACGACCAGCGCGTTAATATGCAAAGAACAGAAAATTAAATCGGGCGGCTAAGGTGGAAGACAAGCACGCTCGTACACTGGTTTGCCTATAATGTTTGCAACAATTAATTGTGTCGCTTATTTTCCTTATTTTATTTTATTTTATTTTATTTTATTTTATTCCATTCAGTTGATCAGTCGGTCTGCGTTGGTGCGAGATGTAAAGCGGGGCGTTAACAAATGCAAAGAGGCATCGCCTAGAAGCAAAATGATAAATAAATAAAACAAAAAATTCCAATCAAAACAAATAAAGACGAATAACAGACGCACCGAAGGAGCAGAAACGAGCGGCAATCAGAGGCGGGAAAATATGTACATACAAACATACTGGAATAAGCATAGCCAAGTGGTGAGCTGAAGTAGCGAGATAAATGTCGAAGGCGCGCGGATTGTATGTATGCGTGTATGCATTAGGCTGTTCGGTTGATGATTTGCAAAACAAAACCGATTTTCGAGTTATTCGAAAAAGGCGAATTGAAAAAACCCGGTTAGACCCGATATTCGCTTTTACTTTTTTTCGTTTTGATAACGCTTGCAGATAGTCAGAAATGAAAGTCAAAAATGGAATAAAACTATTAAAATTAGAAATGGCTTTTATTTAAAAGACAATTAAATGGAATAAGTTCAAAGCTATTTGTATCTAATAGTGAAGCAAACATTAGATCTAATAAATATTTAACAACTTTGGGACCAGATGATTTTTTAATAGTGGTTAGAAACTTTACCCTTGCCTTTTTCTAAGTATTTTCTGAAACATAATTGTTTGCTGAAATATATCCGGGTTTTTAATTCGTTTTATTAAATAATTTCGTAAAAAGAATCCCCACTGGAATCAGATTTGGTAGAAAAAATATAAATACATTATATACCGACACCTTTTCGCCACAATATGTGTTTCTACGAAATATTACTTCAAGCTGCATTTTGCTTAGCTTTTTAACAATTTGGTTCAAAAATGCTCATTTAGCAGCACTACATGAACATATATCGCATTTAAACAAAAAGAAAATCAAAATTAAAAAAAAAATCGTTTAGTAAATTCTACGGATATTTTAAGTAACCGCATATCTAAAAAACATCTTGTACATTGCTGTATTTTTGCTTAAGTGCATTGAAGCGTATGCTTCAAACGCGAATGCTGCCAAATGAAATGTTCTGTTATTAATTTTAAAGCACATTGATTTGCTCCAATTTGAAAAATATACGTATACCAAAGAATAATTTTCGAAGGGAACTTGATTGTATTTAATATTATGTCCACACGGCAATGAAAACAAGTTGTTTATGACTCATTCGTGATATTACTCGAAAACATGTTAAAAGTACGTGTTTTCGCACTGCAAAAACTGTCAAACTTTATTATGAACCAATCATAATAACCTCGAAAACAGTTAAAATTTCGCTGTGTTTTCATAAGCATCTCTGTGTTCGATAACTTTTTGTCAAAACAAAATCGATGGTTTGCCGTCACTAGTTGAAAAAAAGAATAAGAACAATAATAAGAAAAAATCTGGATGGAGAAGAAAAAAAGAAATATTTATAAAAAGCGAACTGCTTGGTGCGCACAAAGCGAAGCTTTTCTTTTGGAGCTCTGGGAGGCTTTATTTCACTCGGAGCAATAGAGAAATGTCAACGAAAACGCGTTAGTAAACACGACGAATGCCGTTTGGACGGTTATGTTTAATATTGAAAACATCTCCTGAAAACAACTTGTTCTCATTGCCGTGTGGACATAATATAAGTGCAAAATTGGAAGCCAAGTATTGTTTCCGGTTGTATAAATATGCATAAACATTTTCGAATAAAACCGGCTAAAACCGGTTTGGAAAAACTGCGTCAATCACCCTAGTACATACATACATACTAGGGATGTTGCGAATGTGGAATTTTAGACATCCGCGGATGCGAATGCGGATGCGAATATCTAAAAGCTAACATCCGCGGATGCGGAATCTAGCATAATGGCGCTTACAAGAAAAACCAGATGTGTCAGGTTTTTCTAAAACTTTTTAAAAAGAATTCTTCATTCTCATTCCTTTGGCTGTTTCAGAATTTGGGGAATCTATTACTTCATGAGCGTTTTTCGATTTTAGTTTTTGTAATTCATTTTTAATACCTTCTTCTCCGACCGGTTTGAACAATTTGTGCTTATAGCGAGCTAAATAGGTGGATATTGAAAAGAAATGATTATTTTTTTGCCAGGAGTGAAGTTTTTTGATCAAAATTCTGTTTTCAAAGCCGTGGCTGTCAGCCGAATCGCATCAGAATATTGTTATTAAAAAAAAGCACCACGTTTTTTTAATAAGAATTTGAATCTCAGATAGTTACGTAACTCGCTTGTTGAGAAATTTAAGCATTACGAAAAAATGTTTAGGTCTTTCACTTGCCTCGACAACCCTCCACACTCTGAGGATAGCCGAGAAAATAAAGGTGGGCATGTTATTAGTCCACCTAAAAAGACAGCCACGGATTCTAGTAAAAAAAATTTTCCATCCCAGTCCTTGGAGCTTATTAATTTATCTTCTCCATGCCCTCAGGCATTGGAGCCTCCGATATCTAAAGCCATATCCACTAGGTCTACTTCTAAAAATAGTCAAACCGTTGATTTAACAGTGTTGCCATCAACATCTCAAGCTCCACTGTC